ATAGGGAAGGGTGGAGGGGGTGAAGGGAGGGCAGGGGAAGGGGAAAAAAATAAGAACCAAGATATATCATGTAAAGGTACAAGATCCCAGTGATGAATCTAACTGTACTGTATACCTAAAATGTACCAGTAAACTTAATGGAGAAAAAAAAGAATCAGGGCAGATGACACCACCACTAAATTCAGGCAAGACTGCCATGTCTGCCTTGTTCATAAAGTGGGTTTCACTGTGGACCTGTGTTCTCACTCCTTTGGGACAAACCAGGCAGTCAATTTAAGAAGTAAGAATTAGTAACTGGGAGATGGGGAAATGGCGGTAGAAAAGGCAGCCTTAGCTCTGTTCTTTCTGTCCCTTCTCACTTTCCTTTTCCCGAGTTACAGTGAGTTTAGTTATGAAGAATGCCCCTTTTCCACCTGCCAGAAGTCCCCAAGATAGCAAGCAGTAGGCACATGGGTCTTCTTCCACTGAATCAGAAGGCTTTGGGATGGCAAATTTGCAAGGAAAACAAATCCTAAATGTACATGGCACCTGCTAAGCTCTCAGTCCCAAGCCGTAGTCCCTATCTCACAAATATCCCAGAAAGAGCATCATGCTATTATCTTAATTCTTCCTGCTTGGATTTTCTGGACATTCCCTTTAAAGTGGGCCAGTGAAGAGGAAAGGGCAAGTTACGTGAGCAAATGTGACTTGAGTCATAGAACAATGCTTAGACAATGTAAGTTGGCAGAGAGAAAAGATAGTGTATTCTGTGCTGTCCTCCACTGCCCATCTTGAGAGAAATGCTTAAGGCAGCAAGCATGAGTTCCTGGAGGACCTAAGCTCTCTTGTTGGGTCGGTGTCAGCGGACACTATTGATGATGTTCATCAGCCTACTGTTGACAGGCAGAGAAAGGCTTTCTGTGGACTATTCCTGCTATGAATGGGAGGCAAAATGTCAGGTGAAAGTTACAGGTAGTGAGCAACAAAAGGCAGGGAAGAGAGTCTCCCATGTGTCTGGGGAGAAAGTGGAACTCTTAAGACGTTGATGTCTTGGTTACAGTGGGGCCTGTTGGTAAGCACTGGCTTGCTTATCCCAGTGATGTCAGCTTTGTGGCAGGCTCACTTCAGAGAAACAGCAATAAAGGCTTCCATTCACACCCCTGACTGATTGAAACCCACCTCATTTTATATCTGGACTATGTATATATTTAGTTGTTCTTAGGGCTCAGCTTCCATTAGCACCAATGAGCTTTAAACAGGGTCTTTCAGCTGAGGAAGGGCCTCTCTTCCACCTTCCCACTTTGTCCCCCCTTTTCATAACTAGTCACAGGCCTGGAGCTCCTGACTGTAACTGGACTCTTCAGCAGCCCTTGTGACCCCACACTGCACTGTTCCCATGGTAACTCTTTGCTCTTCTAGGTTTGCTGTGGAATTTGTCTTCCAATGACAAACTCAAGAATCTCATGATAACCGAAGCCTTGCTCACCCTGACGGAGAACATCATCATCCCCTTCTCGGGGTGGCCAGAAGGAGACTACCCCAAAGCAAATGGTTTGCTGGATTTTGATATATTCTACAATGTCACTGGATGCCTCAGGTAATGCCACCCAATGTCACCCATCCCTGCTCAGATGGGCAGTGAAGTAAGAGTTAGGTAGCCCAAGAGAAGTCAGGATGTATTCTGCCTTTCAATCCCTTCTCTACTTATACAGCGTATTTTTTGAGAGACTCTGTTGTAATGAGTAGTAACTGAGGGAATTTATTATGATATGATGTTTAATCTTCAGTTAATCACACAGTAATACATATCAAATACTGCTGTTGTGTAAGGCATTATTATGGTAGATACTAGGGTTTGTACAAAGACGAATAAGAAAATACATAAGAAGCTTTTCAGTCTAGCAGTAATGCAGATGAGAAATTGAACTAGAGTCCAGCTACAATGAAATGTTCAGCATTGTGGTGCTCAAAGCCTGGCCACGGGGGCAGCAGCATTGGTGTCACCTAGAACTTGATACAATTTTACTGAACAAGCCCTCCAGGGAATCCTGGCAGATGCAGAAGTCTGAGAGCCCCTCTGTGTTGGAGGTACCAGTGACGTGCTGCAGGGACCAGACCAGGGGACATTTAGAAGCTGGCTGTGTCAGAAGCACGGGGAAGTACCAAGGCAGCTGAGCTCCACTGGACTCTTATCTAGAGCCAGAAATCCTCTGGGACAAAGCATCACATTCTTTTCCTTTTTCCTTTTTTTAAAAAATTCCAAAGGTTTATTGCACCAAATGCCACAGAAAATGGAACAAAATAATACATGCATAAGTTTTAAGAAAGATTTCCCATACATTGTCATTGGTATCTATTCAACTGATCAAAAACAGAAAGTCCCTATCAGTTTCTCTTAATGAAGCTTTAATAGTAACAAATCCCAGAATTTTCTGGTTTTAGCCATCACTGAAAATTAGCATAATGTAATCTCATTTCCTAAATAGATGGCTCACCAAAGTTTGACATTTAAAAATTAACATTTAGAGTGGGCTGTTTGATTTAGGCAAAAATTATATTAAAATATCCCCTCTCCCCAAGCACAGTAAAAAAAACCAAACCGTTCTAAGAGAAGCTCAAGATGTGTCCAATTTAATGGCTAAAGTATACATGAACAAAATACTCCCCACACTACATCACTAGTGAGAAACCCAGACCTTTAAAAGAATTTGGGTGCCACTTTATATTCTTTATGTTCAACCAACTTTAGTGAAGAACCTAGAAAGCTATAGACTGTACTTTTATAAAATCTGAGGATCTCATTGTAAGAGCCCGCATCACATTCTTGAAAGGCATAGGAACTATCTCAACGGGCCCCTGGAACCCACCTTCTGCGACAGCCCCTAAGTGGCTTAACTAGCGCATGACTGACTACCACTCATCCACTTAAAACCATTTCAGGTCTCAAATTTTCTGTGCAGCAGCTGTTTCCCAACCACACAGAACAAAGTTTTAATAAGCAAATATGTCAGTTAAGGGTCTTTCTGGTGGGAATAGCAGCAACTGAACTCAGCTCGCTAAAGCCAAGTAAAGATCCACTGGCTCATGTGGCTGAGATGTTGGAGATCACTTGTGGAAGATAAGGGTTGTGGACCAGGAGCCACAGCTGGAGACTCAGCTTCCCTGTATCTGGCTCTTTTTTGATGTGTATCTCATTTTTGCTTGCTCTTTTTGCACACTGGGCTCTATCTACAAAGTCAAACAAGCCTTCTCTGATGAGCAGATAACGTAATCACAGGTAGCTCTTGCTTGAGACAAAGCAGAAAAAATGCACCACTTTCTTCAAATGACTGCCGCAGTCACACTGAAGGTTTATCCCTCACCTTGCTCCAGAAGGGTACACGTCATTTGAGCCACTGATGTCTGGGTTGGCCACACCTGAACTGGATGAATGATTTGTAGCAAAGATTGCAAGGTCTCCTGCTATCATAAAAAGGGTGTAAATACTTGCTAGGTAAACAAAACAAAAAAGGAGCACTTTAGTCCTTTATAGCATACACAGCCTTCTTCAGTTTTCCCACAACCTTTTTGACCCTCTTTCCCCTACAAATGTACTTCATAAACCACCCAAGTACTTACTTTTCCCTGGATGTCATGGGCACTTTCAGAGTCAGGGCTTTATTTTCTTTTCCTGGTAATCATTTTCTGTTATCTGCCTGTTGGGTGCTTCACCTCCTAATGGTTTAATGCCAAAGACAAAATTCCACCTTTTCAATGAAACATTTTCCAGCCTCTCCAGCAAAAGCCATAGCTTGTTCCTAACCATTCAAAGTGGAATTTATAAATGAGTCACCATTGTTTTTTTCTTTATCATTTTACTGCCTCACCAGTTATTTATATACCTTTTGGACTAAATTGAGTGTGAACTTCTTAAAAGCTAAGCCTAAGCATTTGTTTTAATCTTCAATCTCTAACAGCAGAGTTTCTGGTGTATACAGTAGTAAGTGAGCATAAATTATTTGAATTGAATGAGTGAGCAAATTAAAACACATGGGGAATAGGTGAATCATCAAATCTGGTAATAGTGCAGAGTTTAAGCTGGAAAGGAATCAAGTTGGAAATACAGACTAAGGCCAGGTTGTGGGAGCTCTGAGGGTTATGTTAAAAAACTAATTATCTCCTTCTGTAAGCAAAATTAGTTACTGTGGAGGACAGAAATAGAGTTAAGTTTTGTATCGCTTCTTGGCCTTTTGGCTAAGATCGAGTGTAGAATAAGTTTTGTGTGAAGAAGAAAAATGATGGCATTAACAGGAAAGCTGTATTGAGAAAGTGAAACTCTAAAGGCAAAGGCATTAGTTACAAATCTCATCCTGTAGTCTCCACTTAGGAACAAGAAGTAGAAAACACACATAGCTTGGGGAAGGCAATACCCTTCTTGGCACGCATTTTCTGATACACTTCAGTCAGAATGAACACTTTTAAATAGTGTTTGCAATACAAACCAAACCACTGGTTTGAGTGACGTCCAAAAGCAGAATACCTGTATAGCCGAAATCAGAGAAACAGAGGGTTGTGGTGTGTATGCTTACTGAAATACTTTTTTCACCTGTATATCTATCATAACAATAATGGGTGGCATTTATTTCGTAGCAAGTTCTAGATACTGCCCTAAATCCTTTATGAGATTTTCTCAATTTATCCTCAACAGCTGCCTTATCGAGTAGGTTTTCCCTATATTATAGGTGAGAAAAGTTAGGCCCAGAGGGGCTAAGTGATTTTTCCCAAAGTCATAGTAGTAGACAAGTCTGGAATTCAAATCAAGAAAATCTGTCTTCAGATCCAAAGCCCTTCATGGAGACACATTGGTGTTTGTCACATGTCCATAGGCTGCTGATACAGCAGCGCCTCAGTTTCTTTCGTTTCCCAGTATCTTAGGGTCCGAGAGACCAACTTTCAGTGAGACTGAGTTCTCCCACGACACTGCGTCTCCATCTCCTTGTGTTCCTGTCCATGTAAGTGGATCCCTGCACTGCATCTCATTCATGTAACAGGGAAGATACACAGGCCGAGGACTGGAGCAGGACACCTTTCCAAGTGAGGAGACAGCAGTGTAGACAATTTAGACGTCACAGTGGGTGTGGTGGCCACCCAAATGCCATTCAGGATGTCAGAAAGGAAGAAAAGCCTTCTAACGGAGCTCTCATCAAGTGGTGTAGAGATATCTACTAAGTGGTTGCTTTTTTTTGTTCCCAGTTTACTCTAAAAAGATTTTAAGACAAATTTTAATTAGTTCTGTTTTTCTTTTTTTGGTTTTTTGAGACAAGGTCTTGCTTTGTAGTTCAGGCTGACCTTGAACTCACTATATAGCCCAGGCTGGCCTCGAACTCAAGCGATCCTCCTGCCTCTGCCTCCCAAGTGCTGGGATTACAGGCGTGCACCACCATGCCCAGCTTTAATTCGTTCTAATCAGAGTCGATCTTAGCTACATTTTTTAAAAACCCTAAAAGCCAGGCATGGGGGTCCCTGCCATTAATCTCAACAATTCAAGGGGCAGAATGAAGCATTCAAGCCCAGCCTGAGTGACTTAGCAAGACTTTGTCTCAAAAGCCATTTTAAAGGGGGGATTGGGATGCAGCTCAGTGCAAAGGCCCTGTCCATCCCCGGACACTGCCCTCCCCCAAAAAAGAACACAAAGGTTAGCATCTGTCTGAAATGCTGCAAGTTCATCTGCAGTAACCCCACCTCACCCCCTGAACTCGGAGCCAACAGTGAGCCTAACTGGTAACCTGATAGTGGTTTGGGCTCTGTTTGGTTCAGATTACTGCAGTGAGTCCCTCCATTCGAGTACAACAGCGACTCCCTCCCTTAATAAGGCTCAGCCCTGGATGATTGCAGGTCTGTCTGCACATAGTGCTGGTGTGCAGGAATCTGCTCTGCAGGTACAATGTTTGCTCATGAATTGTGGCAGTGGCTGCAGTTCCGCCCAGCTGGATCTGCTTCAATGAGAGGTGGTGTCCTTTGAAAAGACTTAAGACCATGGGGTCCCCATGTCAGTCAGTGTCAGGTCTTCTGCGCACAGGCTCCCATCTGCCTGCAGTGGCATCTCCATGGCAGTGGAGCTTTCTTAGGTCCCTTTGGAGTTACATACTCTGCAGGACTGAAGTCATTCACTGCAAGGAGGCCCAGATTTTATAATGGTGACAGTGCTCTCTTGCACCTTCTACCTCTTCCTCACCTGTTACACTGAATGATGAAAGTAAAATCCAAGTTAGGGGAGGAGAAAATGTGCTGGAGCCCACAAGTGAATGATGTTGGCCTTGCTTAGGTAATTCCAGCAACATCGTGTGGGTAGCTGGAAACCAGCCATCCCAGGAGTATTTTCATTAAGAAATTGGCAAAGGTTAGAAATCAGATCTTCCGGTGCCCTAACCCAGAAATCTAGAAATTAAACATTGACCTGCATACCACTAGCCCTGAATCTCCGCTAGTTGATTAACATCAGAATGTGAATAACTAATTCAGGCATCTTTCTGCATCAACCTCTCAAAAAAAGAAATAATTCCTACATTTTCTTGGAAGGTATTATGAGTGCTCAGCATTTTCCTTTCTTTCTTTCTT